AGCCACGTCGCCCGCGTCGGTTCCGTCTCGCGCCCGCCGGCGTCCGTCGTGTCCGCCGTCGATCTCGCCGCGCTCCTGGCGCCGACGCACTCGGTCCTTTGCCAGCCGCAGCACGGCCGCGCAGAGCAGCTCCTCCAGGACCCCGCGCGGGCCGCCCGCGCCGTCGTCGTCGTCGCCACCCCCGCCGGCGGCGGGCCGTACCGTGTAGGCCTCGAGGGCGTCGTCGACGACGGGCGCCTGCGGGCCCAGCGCCAGCCCCTCGGTCGGCACCGCGTGGGCGCGCATGGGCCAGGCGGTCCACGACTTTGGGGGCGCCCAGGCCGTGGACCGGACGCGCTGGCCCGTGACGGCGTCCACGTCGGCCTCTTCCCCATCCTCGTCCTCCCCCGTGCCGTCAGCGGCGGCCGCGTCCCGGCCCCCGCGAGTCGGCGGCGCCGCCTGAGTACAAAGGCGCTGTACAGGTGAACGGCCAGGTCCTGGTTCCGCAGCGAGACCAGGGCGTCGTGGTCAAGGCGGTCGGCCTCTGTCAGGTCGCGCCAGGTGGAGCGCGGGCCGCGCCAGCGGTTGGGCCGTGCCTCGTACAGGTCCGAGGAGGAGATGGAGCGGACGTCGTCCGTGTCGAGATCCCAGTCTGCCGGCTCGGCGGGCGCCCGGCCGGCCTCGTCGTGCTCGTCGTCGTCGTCTCCCTGCTGGTAGGTGCCGTCCGGAGGAGACGAGGACCGCCGGTCCGAGGGGCCTGCATTTGCCATGTTTGCGGATGCCATGGCTGATGTTTCCCGTCTCGTCAATGCCTGACCTGGTGCACCCGTTTTTCTCAGGTTGGCTTCATGGACCACACATGTATGAGTCCTTCTGAAGGTAAGGAGGGACGTGACATATCAAATAGCTGGGCATTAGTCGTGAACTGCCCTAGCGCTGCGCTTCTGCCGTGAGAACGGCGAATCGCATGAAATCTGCACAGGCAGCTTGCGCGTTCAATCTAGGGAGAGAAGAGATAGCAAGTGCCACAACAGGCAGATAGAAGTTTGTTTGTATTGACTAAACCCAGCGCCTGTTTACTGCAACTCGTCTTTGTCGGAATGCTGTCGGCCTTTTCTGCCGATGGAGAACTGAGGCGCAACGAAGCCCAGAGCCAAGAAAAAAAAAGTGAAGCAAAAAAGTGAAGCAGGTTGAGTTACACGACCCCACACTACCGCGCTTAAAAAGTTCCACCTCGCCTACATCTTGCAAAATCTACAAATATAAGAGGAGTGAATGCCTCCTGGCTGGATTGACACAAGCCTTTGTCACGGACAAAACCCAAGAACCCCGTGCACGCAGCTTCAGAGATATCGCAGCGCCATGCCGAGCCTAGCTTTCGCTCGGACCCGAGCTCCAAGCACCGAGGCAATGCAACGTCGCCCACCAACTCAAAGCCCGACGCAGCCGATAGCGGAGACGAAAAGCCCACGAGATCAAGTGTGGGTTGCAGCTGTTTCGGCGCAACAGAGCTTCGAACCCTCGTAGCAGCCGCCTGGTCCTAATATTATCTCTCATTCTGGTCTTGCAGCTACATTCGTTGCTGCTGTCGTATTAGATAGATACATCGTAGAGCGGAGATAGGTGAGTCTTGTGATACATTTGTGCCTTGCTTGAACCGCGCCAGTGCACACTGTCCTGCTGCCTTGACTCGCCGTCGATTCCTGCCGCCAAATACCAATGCCTGAATGCGAAAACTCGACACCCTTCCACTGAACCTTGTTCCCAACAGACTCGCCTGATTCCTATATCTCTCCGGGGTATTTATGTACTTTTATTCCAAAGTAACATGGCATCCATCTTTTTTTCTTTGAATTTTTATTTTTGTCCGTGTTTTTTTTTTTTTT